CAGCCCCACTTAAATACCAGGACCATGATCCTCCCTGGTGTAAGGCGGGTCTGGTGCCTAAACCCCAGCCCCTACTTTTGGGTAGGTTACTAAGAGGGAGGAGTGGGACCAGGCAGGGCTGTGCCCACCTGAGCCCATAGGGGTGCAAGACCCCAGAGGCCCCAGGGAGGGGGCAGTTGTGGAGCCCTAGCAAAGGGGGCAGTTCAGAGACCTTGAGAGAACCGGGGTATCAGTGGGCCTGCCCAGAGTAGGGTGTGTCTTCATGACCTGAAGAACTGGGCGTAATTCAGAGTTGAGTAGGGCTGCAGGGATAGTCTGAAGGGCAGCCCCAGGGGGTGTGTTGAGTAGAGCTGAAGGGCAGCACACAGGATCATAGTGTTGCATATAAGAAGCCTGGTGAGGGGCTAGGGCGAAGTTGGCCCTCCGTTTGGTGAACTGGCTGGCACACTACCCAGATGAGGGTTGTGGGAGAGGCCCAAGAGATTGCATGTCACCAGCCAAGGCACGATTTGGATAAACCTGATGGCCAGAAGGGTCGCTCCAGGAGAGAGCAGGGCGGAGTAGAGGCAGCACAGTATGGGACGAGCAAGAGACTTTGTGAGTAGGGGGTAGTATGAGCGCGTGTGAGAGAGAGAGAGACACACACTTGGCAGAGGACTAGGTTTGGTTTGGCTTGTGGCCAGGAGTATAACAACACCCTGGATATCATCTGCGAGACATGGGCCACAGTGTAGGGGAGGTATGGAGCCATGGATAGCACCCCCTGGCATCAGGGCATAGAATGGGCTGCTTTCCACATTCACCACCAGTTTATTGTAACAGCAAAGTCATAACAGGAAAGACTGGGCAGACTACCCTACGTAGACAGGTGGATGGACTGACTCGAGGCTCAGCCCCAAGCTTGTCCTGTCACAATGGAAATGTAGCATGGACTGTCCCACATTAGAACCAAGAGACAATGCTATTATCCAAGAAAGTACATAAGTGATGGTGAAACTGAGGACTGATCTAACTCAACTTCCTGTTACTGCTGGACTTTTTTTTTTTTTATTTAAAGAAAGTAGAAGCTCCAAGTTCAGACCACCTGCCAAGCCAATGCTATGGCAAATATCAAGCACTTTCATGGAAAGAACAAGGAAAACATTCATTATTTTTAACTCTCTAACAGTGAAATAAAGATTGTGCCCTTTGGAAGAGATCATGTCATCTCCCTGCTGGTCATGTACATACTCCCTTAATAGCTTGCCCCTCCTCTTCTATTCCTAGTCCTTTTCTCACAAGTGGCTTTGGCCCTAGGAGTATCAAAAAGGCTCCTCCTCCTGCTCACATACCCAGTTCTACAGAAGGTTTTTTTTCCTTTCTATCTAGTTGCTGCCCTTTTTGAAGACACAAAGTCAGCCTGACTACTTCCACTTGCATTTTACAGGTTTTATGAGACACTAGAAGCAAGGAGCAGCAGCCACAACCACAGAAGCACATCAACTCCAGATGTTTAAACCAACTGCTCCAGCCACATAGTTCAGGCCATTAATGCCACTGGAGAGAAATAAGCTTTTACCCTATTCTAACAGATCATTAGCCAAGACAGGCATTGGAGACAAAGGCAGACAAGGTCTTAAATGTAAAAGTGTTGTGATGTTGTAACATTTTGCAAAGATAGTTACCCTATCCTACCCAAGACTGAAAACCCTTTTAGCTGTCAGGCTAAATTTGGAAGTAGTTCATATACCTAGTTACAGGGAATCACATTTGCATATTGACATTTTAACCAAAGCCACATAACTCCCCAGTCTCAAATCCTCAGTCAAAACCTGCATTTAGCGCTTCAGATACCTAGAACCATTTGCTAATAACCTATTACTTACATTCTGCAACTGAGGCCCTACATACTGCCTTAAGTCTGCTGCATGCTTCTACCTTCCTTAAAATCACATACTTTCTACATATTCTATGTATCAAATAAACTGAACTTTCACCAATTCTGTTCTTTCTAACAAGAAGTTAATCATCAAAATCTTACTGGATGAACAGATAAGCAGAAGAGAATCTTGCTGGAGAAGTGAGACTAACATATTCCTCCCCTCCCCCTTTTTTTTAAATGATTGAGGAATTTAGAGCTTTGAGTTGAAGATTGAATTGCAAATGTCAGTGTTAAATCCTCCTTAAAGGTGTTTACATAGGACATATCTTCCTGTACCAAAAAGAATAAAGAGGGGCAAAAGCAAAAACACATATTCAAATAGTTTTTGGAGGCACCAGAAATCCATACTCGTGTATTATTACCAGGCAACCTGGTTTTCCCTGATAAAATATACCAAATTCTCTGGTAAAAAAATAACAGATTCTTTGCTAAAAAACCCCAAATTCCATTATTAAAATTAAAGCTCGCCCCACTCCCAGCCCTGTCCCTCATTCCCCCCCAACAGCCTTGCTGGTACCCCTTGCTCCCCACCCACAGCCCCTGCTCCCCCAGCCCTGCTGGAGAGGACCCCCAGCTGCCAGAACTACAACCCAGGTCCGCAGTCCCCTGCCCCCACTCCCCCCTGCTGTGGGCTCAGGTGGAACGACTCCCCGCTGCCGCGCGCGCTTCCAGGGGGGACCCACGCCCCCAAGATCTGTATGTGGAGCAGGCACAGGCTGCAGGCTCCTGCCGTGCTTCCACACTCCATGCCTCCTGTGCCTGCTTCTTTGAGGGACACAGCCCCACACCGCTGCCCTTACTGCAGCTCCACGTGCAAGAGGTATGTTGCCAGGGCAGTTCGGGGAGAGAAGCAGGGCCAGAGCCTGAGCCTGCACCTGCCCCAGGTACAGATCTGGGGTCCCCCCCACCCCTCGGGAGTGAACACAGCAGCAGGGAGCCAGGCCTCCCTCTCCACCTGTAGCCCTGTCCTGCTCCCCACTTGGGCCCTGCACCCGCAGATTGTGGTCCCATGCCCCAAGCTCCACGTGGCTGGGCAGCCTCAGCTCTACCCAGCTTCCTCTCCCCCCCCACATATCTGCTGGAGCTGCTCTGCAGGCTGTCCATGCAGGTAGCGACCCGTGTCTCTGCCTTCCTCCCATTTTCTCCCAGCTCCCTGCAGGCTAGAACTCTGCCAGCCTACAGGGAGCTCATTGCAAAATCTGCAGGTTTCTCTTGCAAAAATGAGAAATCTGTGTTTGCCTCTGGTAAAATCTGCAGTTTACTTCACTTTTAGGTGGGAAATAGAAAGCCCAGATTCCCTGATTATTACTAATTTAAACCAACTATCTTAAGCTTTGCATTATATAGTTTCCATATTGTTACATGGAGAACTCAAAAGTTTACAGAGATGGCTGCTGGAAAGCAGTATTCACTAAGTGGGATAGACAAAATTGTACAGGAAGGGTTGTTGGAATATACACTTCTACTACGGCTGTGCGAAGCTTTAGTCCCCAGTTTGATTCAGCAGAGATTTGGCCCGATTTGGTGGCCGACTCTCCAAATACAAATTGAATCAGGAAAACCTTTAATTTCTCCAAATCAAACTGGAACCCTCCAATCGATTTGGAAGGACTTGGCAATTCAGACATAGCAGCTTTAAATGTTTTTTCTACGTACCTCTAGGAACCAGGCAGCTTGTGAAGGCTGAGATGTTGGGGCGGATGGAGCGTCCCACAGGAGTAGAGCAGGGTCCCTAGTGTGTTTGGCAGCAGACCTGGAAGTGGACCAGAAGCACTTCCAGTCCACTTCCATGTCTGACAGGGAGCATACTGCCCCCCCTCCCGGTGACTGGTGCCTCCTGGGCCTGTGGGGGGGCACCCAGGGTACCCCCATGGCTGATTGCCAAGCTGGTGGGTGTAGGGGCCCCCAGCATGCTCCCTGCCAGACCCGGAAGTGGGCCAAAAGTACTTGCCACTGACTTCTGGGTTTGCCACCAAGCATGTGGAGCCCCCCCCCCCCCCCCCCCCCCCCCCC